AACACAATGAGGTAAAATGACATACAAACATGGATAAAAGCAGCTGTTATGACAACTGGCACTTGTTGGAAAAAGGCCTTTATGAATGTCTGCGTAGTATGTCACTGGTCATAAAATGATTATGTAGGTGACGTGTAGCATCATGACAACTGACAAACATATATAAACATTTATAGAGACTTTTTTTTCTTACAAGTGTCAGTTGTTGTAACGTACTGAGGTAAAATGACAAACACTGATAAAAACAGCCTTTTTGACAACTGACACGTTTTGGAAAACTGTCTGTCTAGGTTTATGTCAGTTGTCATTAAAGACTTATGTAGGTGTCATGTGGCCTTTCATGACAAATGATATAAACATATAGAAACGTATAAATGTAGTCAAAATCAAAATTGCAAAAGTGATAAGCAGCTTTATGATAACTAATACTCATTGGAAAAATTCCCATAGGTTTATGTCAGTTGTCATTAAAGGCTTATGTAGGTGTTATTTAGCCTTAATGACAAATGACAAAAATTCAGACATTTCTAAAGGCTTTTACTACAAGTGTCAGTTGTCATAACACTGAGGTAAAACGACATAAAACGCACATAAAAGCAACTGATGCTTTTTGAAAAAAGCCTATATATTTCTCTATCCAGGTTGTTGTCAGTTGTCATTAAAGGATTATGTAGGTGTTGTATTCTGTTTCATAACAACTGACATAAACAGACTGAGACATTTATAAAGACTTTTTCAACAAGTGTCAGTTGTCATAACATTTATTGCAGTGAAATGACAACTTTAAGACAAAAGCCTCTATAAGGTACACAGATTTACGTCATTTGTCATAAAAGACTTATGTAAGTGTTGTGTAGTCTTATGAACGCTGCCCTTGCAGGAATGTCATTGTTGCATTGTGTACAGTTTATGAGTTTGGACAATGCCTGCAATATTTAGTTGTAGCTTATATGACCGTACGAGGGGAGAGAACTCTGAGAACTTAGGTTAATGTTCTAGGCAGCTTCTGCTTTGAGCTACAGGGCTGGACCTCCTGTGAGGAACAGAGATAGGACTGAGGAACCAAGCTATGAGGTTCAATAACGTCACAGGAAAGAGAAGGTATGGATGTAATTTAAAGGATATTAGACTGGAAGGAGGAGGAGAAGCTTCAGGCAGGCCTCTCAAAATCTAAAAAACAGACCAAACCAGCAGTGTATTTACAATCTTTTATTGTTTTTTTTTTTCTCAAAATCACCAAATTACAAATATCTTCTATCAAAGCACATACTAAAATATATATTTTTCCCACTACAAATAATAATGTATTGCAAAAAGCTGACATGAACAAAAGATACAGTAACGATGGTGTGTGGATGGTTTGGTAGGCAGTAAGAGAAATAAAACATCCACTTTCAATTCTGAAATCAATGCCCATACAGGATGTATTGATTATTTGATGCGTCAATTATGCATTATGAGTGTTCACTCATAGATCACTTCAGAATGGGAGAAGCAAAATGACCATCTTAGATGCTAGCACACAGTAGTTTATGGAGATAATGGTATTGTGTATAGGCTGGAATGAAAGAATGGATAGTGCTGATGGTTTCTGTGCATGAGGCATCTCGACACTCCTAAGGGTTTTTCTGGAGTGTTTCCATAGAAGAACCACTTTTGCTTCCCTACAGAACTTTTCAATGAATGTAAATGAGATATGTGACGGTGAAGAACCCTGTTAAAGTCAGGAACCTTTAGTTAAATCTTCATCTAATCAGCTGTTCTAACCAAAAACCATTCAGGAAACTTTGTTTTAAGGGCATATTGCATTTGTTTCTGAATCTGCATCAGTTTTAACTAATGACGCCTCAGAAATGCTAATCTGAGTTTGAGTTTATAATCCTGGAACATGAGGATTTCACAAGATAATTGGCATGACTTAGTCTAGAAACCCCACTCAAAGCCTCATTAAATGCAATGAACCTGAGCTGTGAGTAACTTAATATAGACTGAAAAGTCATGCATCATTGTGTAGTAAGTGCCATACCTATATTAGGAATTTCAGGCCTAAGCAGTTTTTCTCTATGGGAAAAATGAATGGCATTTTCCAAAATAGCTTCTATTGCACCCTGTTGGGAATTACAATGTTCCAAAACGTATACATATTTTCTTTTGTATATTTTCCCCGAGTCACTGTAACCTCTGAGTTATGAGGATGTTGCCTCATATTGCTACATACATGCTACAAGCAAGCTAACACCCCTTAGCACTGAAATGACACTGAAAAAAAGGAACTCCTCTATTAAACTTCAACACCGGCTACTCGAACTTGTTTGTTTTGGATATTTTGGTGAAACTTCAACTCTTTTGGAGTTCAATGCGCAACGTAGCAGTATTTTGGCTCCTTAATGACCTCGGAATTCTGAGAATCTGGTGAGGAAAAATGTCCATATGACAAATTTATCAGGATTGGAATATTTTAGATTCTTCACAGGTTGCAACAGCAGCAGACAGATTTCCGAACTTTCGTTTTTTCCCATAGTGAAACCAGCTCAGACTTGGAATTCCTAATATGGGCACAACTACAATTGTGACGACACAACTTCAGAAGTCTGTGGAATCTTCAGCTCATCTTCAGGGAATAATCCATGGCTGAGGAACATGGGCGAAGGATGGTTATTATTATCGTAGCCTCATGCTGGATATTTATAGCAATAAGTTTCACCATGGACAGTCTATAATCCATCTCCAATGGGAATCTGGCTTGTCTCCTTTTGTAAGTGAAGCCTGGGAAGTTTGGTGGATTTTTCCATGTTCTACTGGACAGTCTGCAGATTTCTTATCCCCCGGGTGCTATCTGTTTCATTCTTAATGAGCACGCTATAGCCCCAGCTGCTGCATAGAAACAGTCAGGGCCTTTTAGCTCAGCTGTTCAGGACAAGCTTTCTGACCACAGTGACCTCTCGAAAAAGAATGGGGGGACACACGTTTATATTTATCTCCCACTACTTTATCCGTGCCCACTTTTCCACTGCCTATAAGCCTCCACTTCTGGCCAAGTCCTCGAAAGGCATATTTAAAGAAGCAGTGCGTGTGTTAAAATACTTTGGCTTGCGGCCAGCATTGTTGTTAGGTCATTTTAAAGGGAGAGCATGTGCTGGCCATTCCTGCGCTTTGTGAGATCCAAAGCAGTTTGAACACAAACATTGTTAAGTGCACTATGCCGAAGCTAACGATGCTGGTAATGTTCAAAAGCAAAAGGCTTTTTCAAAAATAAATGTTTATTAAGAAATAAAAAAATGTTAAGTATTTCAAAAAACTTTTTAAATACATTTTTTTTGTTTACAAGTTATCTTCAGGAATTAAAAAAGAAAAAACATTAAAAATCTTTTTTTAAAACGTTATTTCATGAATTAAAAACATTTGCCATTCTTTAAAAACATATAGGTCTATATGAAGGTACATAACAATGTAAATCAATCTCTTTCTGTGGGTTTGTGTCATAATCACACCCTGTTTTTATTTTTCAAACGTCCAGATTAATGTCCGTTTGGCTATTTAATCAGCACAGTGACAGAGGCTGTTCAGTGTGTTCTTATTCATACAGTCAATTATGTAAATCACAGTGTGCTGAAGTTTTAGGAGTTATGAGTAAGTTCCATGTTAAACTGTCTGTTTCTTGATTTCACCGCTTTAAAGTACCATCATTTTGTCATCTTCTAAATATACACTTACAATGCATTTCATTCTACAAAGTATTGCACAAAATTTGCAGCAAGCTTTTTTTGTGATTAACAGTTAGATTCTTTCTTATGAAAAAAAAGTATGAATAGTTGCTGACAGAGCTCATATACACTCTTAATATGTTGAATATAAAAAGGCAAATGTGATAAATGTGAAAATAAAAAAAAAAACAATGCACTAAATTTGACACAGTAAAAAATATATATGCTTTCTTTGAATGGATGAAGCTTAAAAATTTGGGGCAAAATCAATTTCACATTTCAACACTCCGGGATCAGAATGTGTCGCGGGTCTAAACAGGCTTGCACTGCGATTTTATCGGTGAAGTAAACTGACCAGCCTGTGTGGATTCGGTATATGTTTGTCTGAAGCTGGTTAATATAAAATGCCTGTAGATGAGGTGATGTTGAAGGAGTGTTGAAAGGTGGGAAGGAGTGGATCTGTTTTGTCATTCTAATCAATTCCACCAAAAAGTCCTCTGACTTACAGTCAGATCTGCTCAGGCAGACAGAACAGCTGGTAGGCTGTGCTAAATGACCTATCATCTACAGTATGATGTGTGTTTGGTAGCACTTTGTTTGAGGGCTTCACAATAGTGTATTTGAACATTTAAGAACAGCTTTTGTCAGTATTTGCAAGATGACACAAGGTATTTTAAGTAAATGACAATTAATTGACGTTAGGTGTTTTACATCTTAAGTATAAGATTTTTGTTCCGTTCATAAGACTGTTATAAACATCTTATAAGGCAGAGATTGCCATCTAATGAAAAAGTTGCTGGAGGATATGAAGTTTTACTGACATGATGACCATGACTATAGAAATGATAGGATTTCCTTGCTTCTGCCTTTTAGTTCTATTACAAGGGAATGATGCTTAATAACAGTGTTATAAATGATTATGAATCTTATGTCAATACAATGTCATACAACTTCAGAAAAACGATGTCATCTTGCGAATACAGTTCATAAGTTCATACATACTCAAGTATTCTGTTTTAAGTACACACTTAATGATGGTTCTACAAGAGTTCTTTAGTAAAGAAAATGGTTCTATATAGAACACTCAAAGAAATGTTTGCATGATTAAAGCGTTCTTTGCATCGTGAAAAGGTTCTTCAGATTGATAGAGAATGTGCTGTAGATGGTCCTATATAGAACCTTTTTGAAAAGTGTTCTATTGAACACCAAAAAGCGTTCTTCTATTGCAGGAATAGAGGAACCATTTTTGGTGCAATATAGAACCCTTTTCCAAAAGGTTCTATATAGGACCATCTACAGCACATTCTCTATCAATCTGAAGAACCTTTTCACGATGCAAAGAACGCTTAAATCATAGAAAGAGTTCTTTGAATGTTCATGGTTCTGTATAAAAAACTTCTTTAAGTGTGTATGTTTGTCAGTGCGTATGAATCTGTTTTAAAGTTCAAATAAAGTGTTACCATTTATTTTTAGTGGTTTTCCAGCTGAATACAGTGATGGTAAGAGTTAGTGTGACCATTTGTGCGTTAAAGTCGGTGGAAATATATGTAGACTTGATGCATTTAGTGCAATGGCAGTTTCAGTGTATCCGCACCAGAAAAAAGAATAGTAGTGTCCTTGGTGCAACTTTACCGTAATGCTTTAGTCTAGAAAGCCCAATTAGTTTGAATTCCTGGGCACAACTAATAAATATGCACCACACAAGATCACATCCACACAAGATCACATCCACAAAGAAATACTGTAAGTCAGGATGAAAGTGGCATTTTCTCTGGGTACACTTATTTATAATTTATAATTTTCATGTACATGACCCTTAATGGGCCTTTTTTGTCCACTCCAATAAAAACACAATTTAAATGCCATTAATTACGAACAAAAAAATATATATGTTTTTGAGATATTTTTGTGTGAAAATAATAACATTAAGATAAAATAATCACAAATAAAAACAAATGTAACTTGCTTTGTAGAAAACAAAAAAGGACTCCTAGTGCAGATACAGACATATGTAAACCTGGTCCTACGACTATATATATATATATACATACATACACACATACATATACATACATATATATATATACATATATATACATATATATATATATATATATATATATATATATATATATAATGGAAAGCATATTGAATCCTCTCATAGAGAGTGCTCACATCATGGTTTCTACAATAGTGTGGGTGGGCTTGATTAAGCCATTGTTCCTGTTGGAGTCCAGAGGATGTGCCAGCTCGGTGTTCTTCGTACGGTACTCTTGGGGGCACGAACTTGCCCCACCCCGCACCGGGGCTGCCACCGCCTTAATCCTCTGTGCAAAATAAAAAAAAAAATGGTTCGATAAGTTAGATGACAGAGGGACACTAATCCAAATGCAGTCTTGTTCAGACCAGAGATCTCCTACCCTCATCAGTTAGTAAACCTGGTCATTATTGCTGGTTGTTATAACTTTTCTGTTAAATACAAATGAGTAAATGGTAACTGCAGCTTGAAATGTAGAGATTAAACCCGACTTCTTGTATTTAGAGAGTGTCCCAAGTCTACTTTTGAGCACTGTATATGCATTTCGCTGCTGTCGGAACAAAACCTCATATCTCCCAAATGGTAACTTTACAGGAGAAGGAAAAAAGATACTTTACTTTCAATGCAAGTCAATGGAACCAGACTTTTTACCAAATAATTTGAGGGCTTTTCTATTGGTCCATTCATCATGAAATTTACATACAATGTACAGGGCAACAGGTACTTTCAAATTATATCAAAAACTGAAAAAGGACAACAATGGAGATACAAGGTGTTGTTCCGACAGCAGCGATTTAAGAGAGGACTGTGCAAAGCATGATGATATTAGAATCGAAATGCCGAAATTTTTTTTAGCATAGAATGTGCATTTAGATTTGACAGATATTTCAAATTCGATATTTGATGATGTGTATTAAACACCGGGCTGCTGTGCTAATGTGTGCATTCTATTTATTTCACTGCAGAAATATGTTGAATTATTTTATAATATGGTAATGTTAATCCAACTGGATTTAGTCCCAATTTCTGCAATTTATAAATGTTTATGTCAGCAGATATTTACATGAAAAATATGTGATGCGCTTATATTGGTGCATTCTTAGTGCAAACCATGGCAGGTCTGCGCAAAAATGAGCTGAGATATCAAAAAATACATATTCTGCTTTGTTTACTAAAGTTTTCGTAATTATTGGTAACACTTGCTACTTGCAGCTGGGTCGAGCCACGTTTTACTCTGCCTCTTCTCACATTTGTATGTCTGGCCCAGAATCACTTGATGTACAGTCAGATGCAATAGTCTGAGCACCCTCAAATTCCACATTTTATGATTTTCTAAGTGAAACATTTGCATAAAATGTGGAAGTGCCTGCTTTAGGCAAGCCATGCAGATTTGTGAAAATACAGTAGCTCGTCCAATAGCTTTGCCAACAAGATTACATTTTGGGTGGAGCTATATGTTGTGCTTTAATCCATGCTGAATTCATAGTGGTAGTAAGGAATACAACTGAAGTACTATTTGCACGGTATTAGTTTTCTTTGAGGAGGTGGGGAAATATAATTATTAGCAGTGTTTCTTAGTGATTTTAGTCTAGTCCACAATCGTGAATTAAAGAAATAACCCCATGTCTGCAAATGTCTCATTAAATTCTGTGAAAAATAGGTTTTGCACTTTTTCTTAAGCACTGAATAAGCATATACTGCCCTGATATGTTGTCCTACCTCAAGTGTACAACTTTGAACATTAAAACACATAAAATGACAGAAATAAGATTGATTTTATATGGCAATGTTGACTGTTGGCTGTAAATTCCCAGTCTAACAACACCCAGACAGGTAAGGGTAAACAAGCTTATATGTAAATGAAATGTCTGGACATGTTTTTTCAACATGGAAACGTTTTTTTGGTGTGATGGAAATGCAGTCAAGTAGCCCCTGCCATTTCTGTCATTTATACCTACATTTTTACCAACATTACTGATATCCAGTGGGAAAATGACATTACCTCACCTCCCCATGTAAAACTAATACCATGCAATAGTACTTAAGAAAGAGCAGTGGCATGCTGGGAAAATGGGAGCGACAGAAACGAGTCCAAATTTTGTTTAACTTGTGATAATACAGAAACGATTTGCATAAAATATTAAGTGTGACAGTTGAGCCAGGCAGACGATGCAAATGTTCTGGTCAAAAGTAAAATGAGTCACCATATATCATCAGCTCTAATAATTAAAGTATACCAAACAATGCAAAGCTACTCTGCACTCAGTACAGCCTTTAACCTAAAGCATAATACAGTAACCAGACTTTGTGGTATTTGCTGACAGTATATTATATGGTACCGTAACACTTACCTCAATGAGAGGTCCGTCAGACTGGATGATCTTTATCACCACCACCATTGGTATGCAAATCATGGAGGCGAGGGCGAGGGTCCAGCCGACTCCAATGGACCAGTCAGGGTACTCATAGACTTTGTTGTACGTCAGAGGCTTGTATTTGACCAAGGAGAAGATGAAACATCCCTGGAGAAAATGTGAGAAGAAAATGTTGGTATAGTTTTCAAAATATCTTAATGGTGATGGAATGGTATTTTTCAACTTAATTTCTATCTACTTCACCTGTAGCACACGGTTAATTACAGTGGAAAATAACTTTGAATGCGCTTCCATGTACTTAGTAAAAAAGAAGTGAGTTAAATGTCACTTATAATGGAAGTCAATGGACAGGTGCTTCAGCACAGGGTGTGCCAAATTTTTTTTTTTGTATTCTTTTAAAGAAATGGCCAACACAAAATGCCATTGGCTTTAAATTGGTTACAGAGAAAACAGCTAACCTATTAAAATCAGTGGCATTGTATAGAGCACTATGGTTACCATTGAAACAGAATATATATGTGAGAAAGAGAAAAGTTTGCTTTTGTAACAGATAATGTGCCAACAGATAATGTGTTGACCTTTGAAAGCAGCAAGACGATTGGATGAATAAACAATTCACTTTTTCCCTTTTATACTGAAGACAGCACTCTTACGGGGGAAAAGTGCATTCCTGCTCCCACGGAAACTAATCCTATGCCCATCCTGAACTCCCCATTCATCCTTGCTAGCAGGCAGATGGTCACTCCATCTGGACCTCAGCACTGCAGCAAGCAGAAAGGCGGATTTTCACAGCAAATCCAAAGCGGAAAAGTGCACCAGCGCTATAGTTTTGTGGCTGGAGTTAAAGGAGGAGGATGGGCAAACTGTGTCTGATGTCTTTTGAGGTATTTTGGCATTTGTCTCATGCATTATGTAATGCAACTCATTTATAAAATTTAATTTGTTTAAAAGAAACACCGTCTTCTTCACTGTTGATGGGCTTTACACTGACGGAAAACGAGTATTCAGATATTTTTGTTTTTCTTATTTAATTTCCAGTCTATATATTCACTTCAAGTTTATACACATAATGTCTTCTGGCTTTAAACTTTAAACCTCACAAAACTTCTCTGCTAAAGAAGAAGCACAGTCTCAAATTAGCACATAAGCAATTAGACAAATCAGAACTCTTTTGGAACAATGTACTCTGGTCGGATAAAACAATAATTCAGCTTGTCATGTTTAGATAAAAAAAGAGTTGCATGTATGATCCCAAGAACACTCTGCAGTGAAGCATGAAGGTGGGAGCATCATGATTATGAGGCTGCTTCTCTGCAAATGGTACTGGGGCATTACATTTTGAAGGAAAGATGAATGAAGTGATGTCCTGGGATGTATTAGAGGAGAATTTCATCTCATCGCCCAAGAAACGTAGCTGGTGTAATGGGCCAAAATTGCACCCCAGCAAATTACTACTTATCACAGATATCTAAAAGATGTAATTGCCAACAACAGCTTTGTAACAGAGTACTAGCATTATTAATTTGTGGTGTGGGGTGTGCATTTTTTCCTATCAATTTCAGTTTGTTAACATATCTTTGAAGTTGATATTTGCACTAGAAGTATATAAACTAACAAAAACGTGCCTGAATACACCTCACTTTCTGAATTCTGCTTTTTTTTAAGTGAACTCAAAAAACAAAAGGGGAAAAAACTCACCACACAAAGCAAAGGCGTGATTACAGTCCAACACCACTTCATCCAGGGATTTGGTCTGTAGCCAATCATGTCCTCAATTGCATCATAGAAATTATCAGCCCCTAAACGGAGAAAAAAGAGCCTGTTTTGTCATATTACATAACCACACTTGGCCTGACTCTCAGGCAAATGCACAATGACGTGATTCAGACGTATAACCATGGACTGAGCTTTGTTCGACAGTGGATAGGTTCAGTAGGAGAGATAGGACGGATGCGTGTACATGTAGAATGCAAATGAGTTTGCGGTGATGGATATAGTGAGGATGCCTAACCTGTGTAGAGTAATATCCCTCATAAGAAGCACTGTACACTTAACAATTGGGCTTAGTTAAGTATTAGTTAGTAAAATAGGAGAACAAACAAAGAAAAAACATTTTTTAACCAATCCACCTTTTTGTTTGGATTATCGGTTATTTTTAATGTTTTCTCTCTTATTTTGTACAACTTTTACATTAAAAAAGTCAAACTGTGCTTTATTTACATTTTAGGGACCCCTTCATTTTATAAACAGGGCATCAAACAATGCCATACCATGCTTATATGATTTTTACAATGTCACATATACTGTTTTTCATTGCGAGGGCTCAACTGATTGCTACATTTCTTTCTCAAAATATGACTAAATCTGAGAGAATGAAGATTAAACTGTTAACTTTCACACTGATTAATACTTCTTTTTCAAGAAAGTGGTGCCCAATATTCAGATTTTCAGACAATGGTCAGTTTCATTACTGTTTGCCTTAACGCCAATAGATAATGAAGTGATTCTCATTTACAAAAGTTACTTGTCACACTTACCGTAAACCCAGGCTACTGCAATACATTCAAAGAATGCAACCCACAGAAGGCACACACCACTGGCTGCATAGTAGTCAAAGAGTTGAAACACATACATGCCACCCTGGACGAAGAAAGAAAAAAACAGGCCCTTAATCCATGAACTGATGTCCATATTAGAAAAGCAAAGACAAAGCAAGACTGTCCAGGCTAGTACCATCTCACAGAGGGGCGGCAGAGAGGCCTAAACAGCTGAGCAACAAAACAGCAGTTATGGGATGGTGCATTCAGAGGTTACATGACATATTATGTCATGGATAAAAAACAGACTACTGTGATGCTAGGAAAGCAAAGGCTAAAAGCATGAAACTGTCAAGTTCTTCACTTCTGGGGCTTAGTGGTCAGATGCTACATATAGAGGACATTGTCAGTCCCAGCTGGATATCCTAATTTAGCAATTAGATTCCGCTTTTGGCCAAAGCAGGACAGCATAACCATAAAAAGACTTTGCCGGAGAGATAAAGACCAGGGAGATATCAGAGCACCAAAGTGAAGCTATTCTTACTTGTAAAGGCTGAAAGTTTGGCAGAGGGTCATGTGATACATCTTTGACTCTAATTATAGTACAAGTGGAGACTGGGCAAAATTTATGTTAAGATCAAACTGAAACCTTGGACTTTCAGATATGAGTGAAAATTTCCATCCAAAATTTTATGCCTTTTCCAAGTTTTAGAATGGAACAACCTATAGGATCTTTTTTTTGGGATTGGTCAGAAGAAGCATTGAAATAAATTCAAATGATAAATGTTTTTTTTAATGTCCGTGTATGTTTTATGTAAACACATTCTACACATTGAATAACGTCTTTACAAAATTATACTTGAATATTCAGGAACAGCTAAGATGTTTAACGAAGTAAATGACATTGCAGTGACACAAGGGGCCTTAATTTAAAGTAACAGACATTTGTTACATACATAACACTGTAATGAAGCATCATTTTAAAGAAATGGAGCTTGTAAAAGGCTCTATGGAGGATATGAGGCCCTCAAACGTAAGTGCTAATTATTTTGATGAACAATGTCTACTAACTTTAGTCTAACATCATAAAACGTCTTATGTTATCTTGCGATTACTGGTATGGGCTGTTCATAAATGCGTCACTGTCGGGCAAAAACCTTGTATCTCCAAAATCATAACTTTCTCACCCTTTAATGGAAGTCAAAGTAAAATGTATTCCAAGTGACTTTCAATCGTTTCTCTTGACCTATTTTTCATGGAACTTTGACACAGCTAACTAGTATTTTCAAATCATGTCAAAAAAGAAAAATGCAAGATTCCGACAGCGATGATATGTTTGGAATTAGTGAGTCATTGATCCGTGGCTTTGTTTCATTAGAATGCTGTTCTACCAAGTGAAGAATCTTCAGTCAGAACATTGTACGTACCTTAGTGACCATGGTAAGTCCCAGCAGATAGCTCACAAAGCATACTATAGCTATAAAGATTTCTCGACGGTAACCCTTCCGTAGGAAGGATGGATACAGATCCACCAGCGATGTGATCTGTCCTTCCACTTCGACAAACTGTAGGAGTGAAACAAAGTGAGAGTGTCAGGTCATTTCATGGACCTCATGCACCACACTCTAAAAAGCAGAGGTTCCTGAATGGTTCTGTGCTTAAATGTACAGTTCCAGTATGGTCCAGTGGTATCACCAACAGGTGTAGACCCTTTATACTTTGTTCTTTCACTCCTTTAAATCTTAGGCTTATTACATACTAAGGCTTATTATTCAGTAACTACAGGGACTTTAATGCAAACAGGCTGAGCTATTCTTAAGAAAAGTTTGGCTACTAGAGGGGTTAACCTTAACTCTATTTCAAATGCAATTTTGGCCTGATTTGGTGGTCCCTCAGATGAACTTTACATTTTTTCTTCAACAACATTGAAGGAATATATTTATATGATTTACAAAACTAGCAAACTGGATTTTCATCTTTGTTGTTGAGCAAAATTGTCAAAAATTGCAAAAATTGCAAAATTGCAAAATAATTGCAAAATTGCAAAATTTCTAGAAGTATTTTTTATTGTGGCAGTTATACACAATTATTTGATATGAAGAAAGCTGCAGTTGTGCTGTCTGTTTTATCTCAGCAAGGCAATCTTTCCGAAGAGGTATGAATAGTTTTCACAGCGGGGGGTCATCTCTTCCCTTTCACTCCTCATTGCTCGCTAGCAGCTCAATGCAGTCACAACATTTCACACACAGAGAGAAAACAGGGTTCTAGTCAATCTGTTAACACAGGCATATTAATTAAAAATATCTGAGCCGATTTCCATTCTGCCAGTTGAACGACCACTGAGGGCTCTGCAATGGGTCACACTCACATATCTTATTTACAAAAATAGAAAAAACAGATCTTTGAAAGTTTCTCAAGCCCTTAAAATCCCAGGCTTATTACATACTAAGGCCTATTGTTCAGTAACTACAGGGACTTCAATGCAAACTGGCTGAGCTATTCATAGGTTATAGAAGTGTGTAATAAAACCTTGGGCCTGCTGGTGGGCCCTAGCCATTTAAGGGGTTAAGAGATCAAGATTGGTTTGTCTCTAGACAACCCTTGGCAACTTGGTCTATCATGATTCGTGTGGTTTTGAATGGTATGTACAGTGAGGCTTCTGAAATATCAGCTCCAGAGATTACATAATAAATAAAGTCTCTAATTTTGCTCTGTCTTCTTTACTGGCTATTGGCCTCAACTACACATTTCTTGTACTGTACATGGACTTGATGTTGCCCAGTGCAGCTATTCTAATTCCATTTCAGAAAACCAGATTCAGTTTAACAGGGCCAGCACCACACCCAGCTCAGTAGCTTCCCTGGACTAGTGAGCCCCACTGACTTAGCACAGTGTACAATTTCACTGGGACAGTGAAATGTGATAGTGTAAGCCCCCAGCTGACGCAAGACTGAACAGTTGCCAACAAAATGTTTTTTTTTCTTTTCCTCTTCAGTCACAACTTGACCCTGTTTGTGTGGTTGTTCGACAGTATGGAGAGTAATGTTCTATATTCCATTATTATATGTGTCCATTACAAAATTAACCTGAAAGCAATACTGAAGTAAAACTATAACACACAAGTACTCATGTAGGTCTGCTTTTATCCTGTCAAAATCTTACAAAATCACATTTTAAACTTACAGTCGTAGGAAAGTTTGAACACCACTAAAGTCTCTAAGTAAACACACTTGAATGTTTCTTTAAATTTAATTGCACCAATTTCTGTTTTGCTTTAAAGTTTAAAAAAAAAATAAAATTATAAAATGTGCCATAACTTTTGGACACCACATTTTATGTTTTATTTTTTCTGCAATGTATTAAAGTCAGCAAATAAACAGTAATTGTGCATTAAAGTGTGCAAACGTGTGTCCTCTGAACTTATTTCCACTTAGAAAATTAACAAAACAGGCAATTTGATGAGGGGCACCCAAACTTTTGCGTACAACTGTACATCCATCATGTTGGCCAAATGGAAAAGAAAATCTCGAGCATGTCGAATGAAGAGTTAATTTATTACCTTTTTATCTGTTCAACTGCAGCACAGAATACGCTTAAGACATCCAGTGATTTATCTTAGAATAGTTAGCAAGTTATTAACTGTACTAATGGGACTTTTATTCATTCAATTCTGACATACTTTTAGCTACATGGACTTGGCATAAATTCAAAATTTGCTCTAAAGCAGCAGTGTGAAAATCCAAGACTGAAACACATCACAACTTAGCATGCTAGCCATTCACAATCAAAGTTAATGGCTGAATAATGACTACACTGTTCTGAATGTATTCAGTAACATGTTCCATCACAATATTCAAAAAGTAACATATTCAGAAATAATTTAGAATACATTTGGAACACATCTTGATAAGTCGCGTGGGAAACCTCTGCTGTTAATACGCTTAATGAAAAATTAACTTGTCATTTAAATAAATTTACACAAACCTTTCAACAATATTTAAGCTCTCATGGCCTGCTTCTGTCCACTGCCATCTCATGAATTAAGCAAACTTTTCAATATCCCAACAGCAAAATCTTGCAAATCAGACTATAAAGAGAGCAACTATGTGATTTCAAGTCAGTTACTGTTGTATGCAATTTGCCATGAAACGCATATACAAGTCCACTACAACACCAATGCTGAGTAATATTTTCTTTTACAGTCTCTTAATTTCTCCAATGTACTGGATAATGAATTAAAATGAGTAAAATGATGGTAAACCTTAAGACAGTCTAAATGCTAAAATGTCTGACAGGGTGGTAAGTATAAACATACACTAAATTTCGATGTATTGTTGTATGTTAAAGAAGGAAAACCCTCCAAGTCAACATGCTGTAAAATGGAGTTTGTAGGACATACCTGTGGTGTAATTCAGGTACATCATTTTAAAAAGTACTGCCCTAGAAACTTTAAATCTAACTGTATTTTGAATACTGCCTTTACAAAATGTATCTGAACACAGATGCTTAATTTCTGTATTCTAAACAGCTGAATGTGATCCCATCCCAACCCTGTTCAGGATGCACTGACCTGACTGTCGAGACCCAGTAGCAGAAGCATGATGAAGAAGAGAATGGCCCAAAACGTAGGCAGCGGCATCATCGTCACGGCTTTGGGGTAAGCAATGAAGGCCAAGCCAGGACCTAGAAGGGTAGAGAACAGAGAGGGGGAAGGGAGGTGGAGAAAGTCCAATTAGTGATGCTAATCAGTTGCGCATTTTGATCCATGCTGCTACATCGCGCACAGCAGCACAGACCAAATCGAGACATAAAGAAAAATTGCGAGTGGATCCTAGATGTCGAAGCAAAATAGCTGCTAATGACTAGAGCCGCAAATGACTTTTCTTTAAAACACGCTTTGGTGTGTAGTTAACATAACTAGGCAAGAAACATTACAACAGATTTATGAGCAGGATATCACAGAAAACTCAATCATGTAAGTATTTTAACAGTACTACTCAGATAACAACAACAACAACAACAACAACAACAACAACACACATAAATAGGAAGCCAAAAAGCTTGCTAATCTAGCATAGCAAAACCAGTTTAGCAAAAACATAGAACAACCACAAAACACATAGCATTGTTTAGCCGAGAAATATATCAACAAAAAAACAGCCAAACAAATGATATGATGTCCAGGTACAAAATGAGCTTCCCTCAGGGTTTCTGCTTTTACAGCAAGGCAAGTTCCTGTCCTCTCCCAGAGGAATGCCATTTAAAACAAGCCCTGTTCACTGCTTACCTTTTGTGTTGTTTAATCAAATAATATTTTCAACCCAGTCATATACCAAATCTCTCGACAGAGACTCCTGTGGCTAAGTATGGCATTAATCACGTTCTTCTGCAGAGCATTCCATGTAAGTTTAAATAAGATGTGCTCTATAAACACGGCGATAAAGATTTATTCTTTATACACAGCATGTAGGCCAGAGTCTCCTCAGAGTAAGGTCAAGGCAGAAACAGCATTGCAGAAGAACTAAACAATGAGAAAAGTTAGCCAGTGAAACAGGAGCTCAATCAGTCCGTCAAATAACTCTTCACCTCGTTAGTCTACCACTGCAAGGTGAGCCAGAAGAGGAAGTAGAAGAGTTCTAAAACTTAATGGAGAGAGCATGCGGAATGAAGAGCTTGATAATTGAAGATCTTGACAATTGTCCAATATGGTCTACAGGATGGAGGGAAAGAACCAATAGAGTCCGCATGGAACAGAAGCCAAACGTTACAAATAGAGAGCTTAAAATAAAAATGCAGTAAATGCATACAACAAAAGAAGCCCAGCGTTCCAAAATTTGACCTGTGAATTTTACAGTGTTTGTTTAATAAACTTGCACGAGATGTTTCTTGGTAAGTTTCACCCTCGATATCTGTAGAAACAGGTTTGAGCAGTGCTCACAGAGCTGTTTCGACACTAACTGTAGACTCTTCATCATTAGTGGACTGGACAAGATCCAATTTTGCTCACTTTTCCCAGGGTCTCCATGCACATTCTCTCAACACATTTCCAGTGTTTGTTTGGCGAATCCAACCAGAGGGAAAATCGCTCCCGGACGATGTATTCCATTAAAATCTAGGTCTTCGCTTGTTTGTTTTAGCAATTTGTGTGTCTTGTCAAGGAGTGTTTGCCGAAAATTTCAAATTTGAAAGCTGCCTTTTTATAAAACTATTTATTGCCGATTTCAACTTTGGCGTCTCCGATTTTGTCGTTGTTGTTTTCTACAGGACCAACTCTTTTGGATGTTTTTTTTTTTTATTTGAAGTAGCAGTGCCCACCATCACTGCCACTTTACCCTCGTACCTGACTCTGCCACATCGGCTATGTCCACCCCTTGCTCTTGTGCCATGAAGCCCAGGACGGAAAATATTGCGAAGCCAGACACAAAACTGGTACCGCTGTTCAGGCCTCCCAGCAGCAAACAGTCCCTATGTCACACATATGTCATGGAGCTTGTTAATTAACACAAAAGGAACCTACGTCCCCACTTTTTTTTTTTCCCGTTGACTGGACTAATCCCACGCGTCACACCCCTGGGCACGGAGCTCACCTGTAGCAGTTGTATTTGTACTTGTTGTAGCTTCCCAGTGATGTCATCGCTCCGAGACAAATGGCATAGGAAAAGAAAATCTGCGTCCCTGCATCGATCCAGACCTACACAAACATGAGAAACTGTAAGGCTAATGTTGATAATAAGTGACTGATTTTGTTGACTACCCAGCAAATTCCCACTTATGGTCTTCAATGTAATACGGAAAACATGCTAAGAAGATGATTACAGGACTGATATGGAAAGCTAAGCGTAAGACAATATAGTAACTACAAGAAGTCTTACTTCAGGATCTTCGAGGCGGGTGACATTCGGATACAGATAGAACTTGATGCCCTCAGCTGCCCCAGGAAGAGTGACACCCCGGACCAGGAGGATAATCAGCATGACAAACGGAAAGGTTGCCGTGATGTACACAACCTAAATGGAGAGAACATGAAAATGCAGATTAGAATTAATGTGTACATCTCTAGGAAAAATCTTTTATCAACGCTGAACATTAAAGTAACACTCCAGTATTGGGGGGGCATTACAAAGTGCTTATTAGGCCTTCATAAGCCAGTAATTGGTCATTTATTTGCAGCTTATTACTACATTATTAAGCAGTAACTGTGAACTAAGCATTTTTATCAAGTATTTTTAGCAATGCCCATGGCTGCCTTACTAAGCAGCAAGTACGGTCAATTAAACAATGTCCAGAGCACTTTTATTGTGTATTACATCATAATCTTTTGCACAACATTTTAGGTGCCCACTATTACACCCTTATTATGTCTTCTGAAGCTAATAGCTAGTAACTACTGACTATTAATTAACTTGTTTCATATTACCACATTATTAATCAGTAAGGTGGATCACACATTTGCAATGCTCTTATTAAGCCTTATAAAGACCAAAACAAGGCCAAGGAAAATTGAAGATTTTAAATGTCTTTGTATGCCTTATTCATGATAGATATCTTAATAATAAATTAACAAAAATATTAGCATATCAACCTGTCTTAGTTCAACTGGGCATTTTGGTTTTTGGAAGCAAATGCTATTACCAATCAAGGTTACTTACGAAGCACTGGCTTGACAAGGCTTTGATCGGAGCATTATAAGTGCTCTAAAACATGCTTAATTTGCCCTCCATCCAGTTATTTAACACACTACTGGTTTGTTACACTGACATTCTCCAATATAGACATTATGTGGACGGTGTCCAAACTTAAAGGTTCTTCACACTCGCATGTCTAATGGTTCTATATGGAACTAACCATTAAAGCTTCTCAAAGTGGTTCTTCTAAGGTGTCATTTCGAAGAATCCTTTTTAGTACTTTTTAAGAAAGTAGAAGAAGCCACTAAAATCTGTTACTGGAGTCACAGTGTTTTGAAAGTATCAAATGTCTGATAGCTTGAATTCTTTAATAATGTATTTTTGGCAAAGACAACTGATTCCAGATTTGAGTGGTCATCCAAGGGTGACCACAGTGCAGAGGACTAGACAGCTAATTACATTAAATTCTTTTGCTATGACAGACATATTTTTAAAGGATCATTTGCTTTCCAACCACAGTCGCAGAAGACATTTCTGTATTCACTGAGGAGGCAAAACCGTCTCTCAGCTATATAGTAACTATTTTGCTGCAAGTAATGTAATCATGTTGTGGGCAAAGAGAAATCTGAGTTGACAGTGTGTTGGCAGGCAGCTGCTGTGATGTTTACAACTGGGGGAAATGTGCACCAAGTCCAACGATCAATAAATGGGGATTTAAGCCACCAGACAAGGCGGCTTTAGATCGAGTTTGTGGCCAGCCGTCTGCCGGTGGTTGCTCTGTCTACCAAGAACATGTTTGCTGTCAGTATCTTCGACATTAATCACTGGAGGAAAATTATGTTTGTGTTCACAACGTTGGCTGCAAGCACAGCCAGTCAGACAGTAATAGATAAAGGAAAGTAAACTTAGCATGTTGCTAATAGTTACACAGAACTGAATTAACAAAAATCAGTGATACTGATTCATGATCATCCACAGCTCACCTTCCCTGTAGACTTCACGCCTTTCCAAATGCAGAAGAAACAGATGACCCAAACGCCAAGGAGACACAGAGCCAGCTCCCACTTTACAGGGCCCACGTCCTCGATACCGTCAGAGATACTCAGGACGTTGCGCCTGCAGGGTAACATGAGAAACTCTTGAGCCATTTCAAGAGGCTTCTTTTCAGATAAACAAATATCATGTACGCCATGACCACTGAGCAGGACAGGTCTGAATGGATGTTTGAGTACGAATCAAAACAACCTGTCAGATGGAGTCGAGTGGAAGAGGCAAGTTTATGACCTCAGCACCAGCTTCAGCCAGTCTCGTCCAGCCCCCTTTACTATGTAATTACTTTATGCAAGCTGACTAAAACATGCTGCTGACCCAGCCTGGCAAAAAGGCCTCTATGAGTTGCATGGTTGTAAAGGCGAGGTTGACAAAGGTTAGTGAGGTCACCTGCTCTTTGAAAATATGGCACATTATCAGCATCTCCTACAGTGTAGTCCTTTTACTGAGGTACTATAAGACTGTATGCTTGTCCAGAAGCTAATTCACCATTTGGACTGAATTTAAAGCATGTTTAGACCAAATAGTCTGGAAAATAGAACTACACCAGATCCATAAAACAAGAGGCAGATTTTGTCCTTCAAGGTACAAACAATGTAAATGTCTCTTCAGAAGTACACTCTTAGGCTGGCCGTACACTAAATGACTTTAAAAATCTTAACAGATTTCTAAAATGGAGAGCATCACAAACTTAACGTCAGTTTGTCAGAGAATTTCTTGTTTGTTTGTCGTGAGGGAGCTCACACTAGACGACAGGGCAAAGAGAGAGAATAATACACATAACGATTTTGGGCTACGAATAACAACTCAAACTCCCAGATCTCCTCAGAAATCACATGACACAAACAAAGCTAAACTTACTGGCCCTTTTTTGCTTCTAAGCACAGCGAAAGTGTAAACTGGGGATTAATATGTGGTGAGAAGCGCTGATACAGTGAGTTCTGGAGAAATATTTCACTGCAAACTGGCAGCTGAGCTGAAACTGTAAAGAGAGTGCTTTAATGTCTGGATCCACACATTATAAACATGATAACGGCTCTTTTTTGCCTGTGTTTTACACACAGCTCCTCTGACTCCGCATTACCCTGTTTATACGCATCTCTTTGCCTATTCCTCCGCTCTTCTAGCTCTCTGATTGGCTGTTGTTTGAACAACTCGTTGAGTAAATCTCTGACTTTCTCACACTTCAGGACCCGTGAACGTTTTGAGTCGTAAATCAGGTCGGGACTACAATCACTTCAGAGTTCGTTTGGGGGGTAAAGATTCAATCATTTCTCCTCTCACACTAACAGATCATCCGCACCCTCTGTTGCTTGTTGAACTCCAGAACTGTAAAGTCGCATCAGATTGTGAAAATGTGTCACATGGGGCAAATCGGGCTTAAAATCAGGCACAAAATGTGTAGTGTAGGCCCAGCTTTAGCAAAAATGGTCCTGTAGTAGAAGAAAAGGTTCTTAGGACACTTTCTGGTGTTATGGTTCTTTACAGATCCATATACAACAGATTTTCCATCATAGAGAAGAACCATTTTCAAATACTTTTTTGAGTGTCCTACATTGTCTTTACTAAAGAACCATTTAAGAACCATTTATTTAAGCATGTACAACATGGCTTGTAAAACTTAGGTGAGTTTTAAAGGTACACCACATTCATTTTGTCAGGGGAAGGCATATTTGTACCTTTTTTAATGACGTAACTTTTTTAAAATAGAAAATAAAAATGCTGTCAAGACTGGTGCATGGAGTCAATGCAACTTAAAAAACTGGCACAATTATGTTCCCTACCTAAAGGTACTGAAGATGTACCACCTACCGACAGCATTCATCCCTGAAATGCACCACGTTTCTGAGAGTGTAAGAAGACCAACCTTATGTTCAGATACTTACTCCCAGAACTCAGTGACTGGTGAAGTGAAGTTGGTAGCGTTTGCAGCTGCCCACAGGGTCTTGTTCTTGCGGAGTGTATCCTCTACACAGTTTTCTGTGTTCCATGGATTATTGCAACTGGCCCAGGGAAGCTCCGGCTGAAAGCACTGGAACAGGTAGTACAAGCCCCAGGCCAGGATCACAATGTAGTAGATGTTCAGCAAGGAAACGATCACAATGGAAGCATAGCCGATACCTACATGGAAAGAAATGGAAACATCAACAGTTATTAGAGTTATTATTACCATGGAGAGCTGATGGCGGAGGTTCTTGGTAAGAGACAGGAGGTTCTTTTTCCTGAGAAACAAAACATCAACCTCTTTTTGTCATTCACTGTGTAGCAAAAGCTGCCATTACTTAAAAAGTTTTGCTCCAGTGAACCACAAAAATTGGGAGACAGGGTCCCCAAGTGAATGAGGAACAAGCATCATTTAGAAGACTGAACTGTGCAATGCGTACTGATCCTAGTGGTCAGCAAGTGTTGTGTGTGTTCATTCAGAGGAGGACAAAAACTGAAATTGCCAACTGTTTGAAGCCAGAACTTATTACCATTATTTTTCTATATGATTGAAATGTATGTTATGTAATTGCATAGTAATTACATGGTTACATAACACATTCAGTTTACATTTTTGTATAGAGAGATTGTTTCTGCATATTTAAATGTCAAAAAATATGGCAAAAATGATTATCTGTAGTTTCCATAAAACAAGCATGTCAAACTGGGGCCCTTCCAGGCCAAAGTGCTGCAGAGATTAGCATTTACCCTCATTTAATGCTCTGAATTCAGTTCATAAAGGCCTTTCTAATTAGCTGATGAGCTGAATAAGGTGTGTTTAATGAGGCACCATGCTGAAGTCTGCAGTGTTTTGGCCCATGAGGACTGGAGCCTGACATGTCAAAGCAGGACATTATATTGTGAAGCACACAAATGAAAAGGTGTTTTCTTATCTGAAAGTTATTCATACATAGTCATAAATTGCAGCACCGTATGTTGACTCTAAGGAGAGAGAAGCCATGTGATCTGGAGTGGGAGACAGATAGAGACATTTATGTGACCGACTTCCTTTTCACCCCTCAGATCAGGTGAGCTGAACACAAGATGCCCCAGTTTATCACTGTCGGGGGTGTTTGCCAGCTGTCAGTGTTTGTCTCAGGTTGATGACTCTTCTGTTTCAGCAGTTGTGCTTCTTGTCCAACAAACTAATTAACAGCTGCTGAAGGTTCTCTGCCCAACCCTTGTTATTTCCACTAGCTAGCCTACATGGAATATTACTGTGCAAACAACGCAGCACGTAGCGAAGCTGCCTGTGCTTCTGACACGGAGGGTTAAGCAGAAAAAGTTGGACGTGTGGACTCTGTGTGTACATCAGAGTGTAAATTAAATGTAAATGTAATTAATTGTGCAACTATGTAATTACAATGTGATTATACATTTAAATTTGTTGTTACATTTGAATGGTACATTGAAACAGCAGTAATAACTCTCCTTTTTTAAATGGCTATCATTGCACTTTTCCTGAACATTCTCCTCCTGAAGGTTCTCCTGAAGGTACCAAATGCTAGTTATTTTTACTAGCTGGTTAACATGGAAAATCACTGTGTAAACAAAACAGTGTGTAGGGAGCGAGTTTTAGCAGAAAAAAGTTGAAAGCCTAAACTCTAACCTTTCAATACAGAATGTAAATCAAATGTAAATGCAATTCATTGTGTAATGAAGTAATTACCATGTAACTAATTCTGTAATTACATTTGAATAGTATATCAAAATGACTGTAATAATTCTCCACTTTTAAGGACTAAACTTAGACCTCAATGAACATTTTCCTCCTGAAGTTTCCCTACCCAATTCTAGCTATTTCCACTAGCTAGCTAACATGGAATATCACTGTGCAAACAAAGTAGCATTTACATGTAAACATAATACCTTCCATAACTATGTCATTATAATGTTATTAAACATTTCATTTTGAATGTGTAGAGTTATTATGACGCTTCTAAAAGTTAAAGTTGGACTACAGCTTTTTTCCTGCTGAAGGTTTCTTTTTTGACCCTAGTTATTCCCTCAAACTAGCTAACATGGAATATCACTGTGAAAACAAAACAGCACATTGCGAGGCTGCTTGTGCTACATATAAGGAGGTTTCAGCAGGAATGGGTTGAAAGTATTGACCTGAACCTGTCAATACTGATTGTAAACCCAACGTCCATGTAATTCACTGCAGTACTATGCAATTACTGTGTAATTACACACTCAACTTTGTAAATACATTTGACAGCAAAATAGCAACAATAACTTTCCATTTCCACACACCTAAAAAGGATGGTTCTTCAAGGGTTCTTTAGTAAAGGCAATAGTTCTATTTAGCACCGTGAGTTCTACATAGAACCATTTCACGCTCAAATTGTTCTTTGCATAGTGAAAAGATTCTTCAGTTTGGTGGAAAATGTGTTGCATGTAGTTCAATATTGAACCTTTTTGAAGAGACTGACATTGTAATAATAGCAGAACCCTTTTTGGTCCTATACAGAACCATATACAACACATTCTCCATCAATCTGAAGAACCATTTCACTATGCAAAGCACCATTTAAGCATAAAAAGGTTCTATACAGATCTCAACAGAACCACTGCCTTTACTAAAGAACCCTTGAAGAACTTTTTTAAGTGTGTAAGGGCTAAACTTGGACTGCAGTGAATGCTTTTTTCTGCAGTAGCTTTCCTACCCAACTCTAGTTATTTCCACTAGCTAACTAACCTGGAACATCACTGTGCAAACAAAACAGCATGTAGGAAGGCTGCCAGTGTGACTGGCCTGATTCAAAATTAAACTGCTGTAGCTCCTTTAAGCAGCCAGTGGAGTGGACAGAATTAACAGCTTGCTGACATCACGGTTCATCATGACCAACTTCACCATATAAATAGGATATCTGGCCTGCAATAGTGCCTGACGGTGAGAAAGGAAGAGAAGAAAAACAGAAATAGCAAGAAATAACAGCCACTGTCTGTTACACTTCTCTTTCCTAGTTAAGGTAACGCTTCTTCTCAGGCTAGACCTCATTGCTAGTCATCTCTTTCATGTTATGCCGCTCTGCTGCTATGGCAACACTGAATTTAGCACACTCTGTACGCTGCACGCCTGGGCCTCAAGGACTGGGTGCAAGCGTCTGTATGAGTAGGTGCAACCAAACACACTCATCTGAGCCTGCATTCCGAAAGTATGTGTGCATCAAAAGAGTGCATCGGTCAGTTTGGTGTGTTTAGGAAATTACATTTCATCAGATTACTTTCGGCCAGCCTAGATTTCTTTAGTGAGGCGATGTGAACACAGAGAGATGTGAGAAAATAGCCTTGCAAAGACGTTTATCCGCTGCCTTTTGAAGTGGAAGTGATTTACTGTTCTAAAACCTTTGTAGCCCACAAATAAGGATGGATCATGTTTGGAAATATGCCTGCATCCTCTGTTGGGAACCGTCTCCAGCTATTGATTTCTTCCCTTATTTGTTCTAAAGACCTATTTCCTGCATGGCTCAGCTCCTGAGGAAAAGGTGTGGACATCCTTACTGCATTGAGTTATCCTTTATTGTCTGAAAAACAACTAAATAATAAAATTTGCCACATTGGGGTATTCCCCAACTTCCTATTTTGTGCTCATAGGTAGGACACCAAAAGCTGAAAAGAGCAGGTGTAAGTTGATTTTCTACTATATTCCATTTTATTCTAAAGTGATGACTTACCAGTAAAGATGGGGCAAAGTTTTTCCCAGCAAGTGATTCCCCCCTGAGAGGTGAACTGGCCAAGAGCCACCTCCAGGAAAAACACAGGTAGGCCTCCCCCGAAGAGGAAAATGAAGTATGGGATGAGAAATGCACCTAGGCGTGAAGAAGAAGACAAGGTACATCTTTACAAGTGCGTTTAATTCTGCTAATCATTAAATCCCATTAACTATGTGCACAATGATTGACTATGAGCCCCAACTGAACCTCAGTCAACCATTACAGTGTGAACCTGTAACACATCCTCTTTTTCTAGGCTTCCTGTGAGGGTAATCTCAGCATGCATGTTTCTCCAAATATGGGCTTCTGAAGCTCAGACGACTCATAGAGCAACTCTGATCCGTTTCAAGCCATGCAAATGTATCTTATCACTAGAGCTACTGCATGATTCATGACAAGTTCCATTAGAGCAGATTCAACTTGATTTGAACCACAACGACGAACGTTTCTTCCATAATTATTTCATGGCTTGGTGTCTGAGAATCTTGAGATGTTGAAAAGTTTACTCACCTCCACCATTCTTGTAGCAGAGGTACGGGAAACGCCAGACGTTTCCTAAACCGACAAAGCCTCCGGCCACAGACAGGAGAAAGTCAAGCTTGCTAGCCCACTTCTCACGCTGAGGGTGTTTACCCTCGGCCTCGTCCTCGGGTCGGGTGCCGGGGCTTTTTCCCGGGGAAGGCTTCAGAGTGTCTTTGTGGAAGTCTTTCAGACATTGGAGCTTCTCTTTTTGTGCCATGCTGTTGAGGAGAAAGCATAATGGGCTTAAATTTTAGGCTTATTATCCAGTTAGTAATCTTAAGACTTATAATCCTGTACTGCAAATTATTTGGTAACAAATATTAAACTAATATGTTAATTGTTATTGGGAATTAAAGTCTGGATGGACTGAAGTCTGAGATAACGTCTGAGAGCTATTACTGTCATTTTGTTGTACTTTTCAAATGTAATTGCAAACTTAAGCGTATAATAACAAGGTAATTACAGTTATACAATAATTATATTTACATTCTCTATCAACCTATTTGAGTGTGCGCTTCTGATTATTTCAAGTCTGAGAATGTTAACCCTTAGACGTTGAGTTATTACTGTCATTTTTTGTTAATATTCGAATGAAATTACAAAAATAAAGATAAAATTACATAGTAATTACATAACAACAAGATAATTTACATTTGGATCTGCTTTACATCATGTATCGGCATGTTTGAGGCTGCGATTCTGACTTTTTGTTTTTTTTCAAGATTAACCCTTAGAAGAACCCTTAGAGTTATTACTGGCATTTTTTGTAGTATTGAAACATAATAACAAAAATAAATGTATAGTAACATAGTAATTGCACAATTATGCAATGAATTACATTAACATTTACTTTGCATTTTGAATCGATAAGTTTGCATCTGCATTTTTTTTGGTTGGTTTCAATGTCAAGCAATGATAGACATTGGAAAAAAAGGTAAATGGTGTTTTTTTGGACAGCAAAACAAGACAACTTTCATCAGATTCAAAAGTTTGGAGGCTGCACGTTCAACAGAGTGTCTCCATTTACTTTCATGAGCTCTTAGTCATAAATACCAAAAATTACACCATTCTCTTTTCATCACCAATAACAGCTTAAAGAATGGACAGATAGGAGGCACAATGAGTTGCAAACTTCAAACCATCAGTATCACTGTGACGTGTGTAGTGAAGCCTCCACATTCCAAATGTAGGCCAAACATAAATGATAAATTTCCAGCGTCTGCAGGGCAGGAAACCTCTGCATGGAGGTGGCCATCAGAACTGCTCTTGTGAAGCTGTGATGAAGTTTAACACAGGAACCCAACTATCACGCGCACAGAGTGAAGTGTCAGGCTTCAGTTTGCATCGCTGGATGTTGCAACCAGACCGAGATCAGATATAATTGCTTGATTGACACGTCAGAGAAACAACACAGCCAGAACCTCATTCAAGCTGAGCATGTGCAACACGTGTTTGGTTTGCTCTGTCTCTTTAATTAACGCAGCGTTTATGTGTCAAGACGCTATTCAAAGAGGGAATTGTTATTACTGGCTCAGGGTGTCCAGTTTCAAAGCATGGGCCAAGAAGCACCCTGGAGCAGCCCAAATGTACTCCCAGGGAGCCAGATTGCGATGTCAGAAATGCTTTGGCGCCCCTCAGCCCAGCTCCTTTTCAACTTGGCATGGATAGAACAAACTACAGCCCCCACTGCAAGGTTGCATTTTTAAACACAGCTCCGATTTAGAGCTGCCTTATTTTATTTTGGAGACATGCAAATAAATTGAAACCTATGCTAGGTCTGAGACTCTCTTACTGCAGCACATCCGAGCCTAAGTAGGTTTCTATGTCACCTCGTTCAAAGTGACAGGAGAAGAAGAGAAGAAGAAGTGCAGGGAAAGTGGAAAAATACAACTTCCAAGGCCTGACAGACAATGAGGACGGCCAGCTTGAAAGCATACTTAATACTCCTACTATTAACATTCACGAGATGCAGAGAGTCGAATCGCAGTGACCCTTTTGCCAAGGAGTCGAATTCGATATATAGCCCAACACTGGACACCAATGTCCTTGATGTATAAGTCAGCCTCTGCTTGTACTTCAAGTATTCTTTCATTACCTATTCATTGCGGGGAGTCCTCCAGATCGAGGAAGAGTTTTGCGGAAAGGTTGAACCAGATGATAAATCCGAATGGAAAAAAGGCCGTTGTCAAGACAAAACATTACGCTGTGTTTACTAAATTCTCCTCTGTGAAGCATAGCGAGGTAGTGTCATTGAATTTACACAGAAAACATTACAGATACTGTCCAGTTACACAACCAATGAATTGCAGTGTTGAAAGCGCACAAGACGAGTGGTGCTCATCCTCATTTGCAGGGTTAAAACTGTACATTTCAGAGGCTTAACAGCTTTCTACAACTCAAACACATTACATTACATAAGCGAGTGAAATCCTTCAGCGCTGATATCCTGTGTCCTTGCTCGTTACTTCCAAACTTGCTTGGCAGGGAGTCAAAATGAGACCACTATTAAGTACTGGCAGTGAAAAAATGTGGTCAAAAATGCATGTCCACTGTGTTACATATTACTAGCAATTCTGTTAAACCATCAATTTCTTTATATTATTTGAAAACAGCCATCTTTTACATTTTCTGAGCATTTAATAAAGAATGGACTGATGGAAATGGTCCAAAATCGCTTAGGTGAATCTGCATAAAAAAGCTACCATTTTGGATGTAAAAGATTTTATAATAAGAAACTACAGTCTAATATTCTGTCTTGAGATGAAAGGTTTTATAACGCAACAAAACAAAATTTCAGATTTATCCATTAAGTTTCAAAATACAACCAACTCCAACTTAACTCAAATTCAGAGCAAAATAGTCGCACTGGCTTCAATTCAGATCAGTAATTAAATCATTTCCTCCAAACAACTACCTATTTCAACATGCCGGAACAAGTCATTCAGTCACAGTCCCCTGCACTTACATTTCCTTCATGGCTGTTAGTTTGGTGAGGAGTGCCGTTCTCTCTCCGTTGTCACCATGCCTCGGCTGCCACAGCCTAAATGTCTATGCAGCTCAGAGTAAGCCCAGATTGACAGTGTGACCCGCCCCCCGAACTAAGACAATTAAATGCAATCAGCAGATTGGGCTTGGCTTTAGAGCTGGGGTGGGAGGGGGTTGAGAATGACATAGACCGGGACAGTAAATTTCCACTCCCCAAAAGCGATAGCAGGACGCCTGCGACCGTTTGCTTTGCATGTGCCGTGTCCACTTGTGGTAATCTGAGCCGCAGACTTGGACGTGCCAAACAGAAGCAATGGGACGGCCCGGGGACAGCAACCCCTCACCTCTGTTTCATTTCAAGGCCTGTCTATTTAAACCTGCTGTAGCTCGTAATAGCTTTTCCAGTAACACTGGGCGGCTTGGCTAAGTGTGTAACGTAAATCCAAGAACAGAAGATTCCATCGTCTGGCTATCACTGAGAATTTGGATTCTAAATATGAACTGGGAGTTTATGAACTGATTATTAATGTAGTTAACGAATGCATGAATATTCCGTAGTGATAATGAATCAGGGTCCACTTTGGTGTGGAGGTTTTTCAGATTAGCTGAATAAATGTGTACTCTGCCTGCTGGCCTAGGCAAGGTCCAGTGCATTTGCATAGGCGAAGTGTGGCCGATGACAAAACAGCCATTGTATGTGTGGAGCCAGCTTTTTTCCTTCCAAGAAAAAAACACTGAAATGCTGTTGGAAACAGCCAAAACAGTGGGGCCTACTTAGAAAGTCAAAAAAGTAAATAAAATATATTATAAAAGATATATTTTAGGCATCATCAAAAGACATCAAGTCGCTCAGAGTCATTTGATAAAACATCTCAGGTTTCCTGGCTAACAAGCAAGCGTACTGCTCCCTCTTCAGTTCAAAACAAGAGGCAAGCACAGTCTGTTAAGAACGCTCCAGGAAGCCCCTAATTAGAAGTGATCTGCACTGTTAAAGTTATAGGTCAATGAATCGACTAAAACGTCAAGTCACAACAGCTCCTCTTCACTCCGCCTCACTGCTGCCGTTTTGGGGCTTTTGTAAGCCGTGAAGGACTTAGTCATGCAACTGAATGGCTATCTCTGTGGTCCTGGCCACTGGGAAAGACCAGGTCCGGCATCCACGTGAGGCTCCGAGGCTCATTACGTAACCGCTATTTTAAAACCATGTACATTTCCTGAGGGTGCGCGTGTTAAACTCTTTCCCCCTCTTTTAATATATTCATACATTCACACAGTGCCCACTCACATGCTTCCGAGTGTTGACCACAGACCCCCGGGTCTCACAAGGGGAGACATGAAACCTGGGCAACATGCAGATTCAGGCAAACTCTTAGCTGTAACTGACAACAGCACTGACAGGGGGACGTGATCTGTGCTGGTTGGGTAAACTCCAGCGCCCTTTGTCCAGCTTCCGCTAGCCCTCTCCAGTTTACGCCATCAAATCGAATGCTAATGATAATGTAAACAAGGCAAGGGCTTAAAATGGACCAATTTTGACCATTAACTAAATCTTCTGGAAACAGAGGACACTGCCCTTGCGTCACAGATAAGCCAGGCTAATTCCTCCTCTGCTTTTTTCTTCTTTTTTTTGGGGGGGGGATTCTCATTGAACTCCCTTCTTAAACAAAGAAGAGTTCAAAGAAAATAGAAGAAACTGGGTTAGTAGTAATGGTTAGTAACTGGTATGTTATTTGAGTTGCAAAAAAGATCTGTGAAGATCAGTCTATCAGTACATAAAACATAGATAAAGTAAGTGATACATTAGCCTTTGCTGCCCTCCCCTTGCAAAATCCCATTCAAGCCACTAGTAACCTTGGATTCCAACCTCTAATGACCCAAAAGTGCGTTGCCCATGAACCCCTTCTTGTTTATCATCCCTGTGATGGCACATGGTTAGACCTTGTGCAAACAGAAATTTCATGGTTAGCGTAGTAAGAATCAGTTCAATTATTACCAAAATGATAAACAGGCTCCTTCATTTTCCTTTGCATGCTCTGAACCTGAAGCAAAAAGAGTTGCAAGTTCTGCAAATCCCACAAAATCAAGATTAATCCATCACTGTCAACTCCAATATCAGGTATCTTGCTGTGGCCACCGAGAACTTTCATTCTTCCTGAACCTATCATTATACTAATGTGATACTAAGCTGCTTCTCTACCAGAACACGGTCGAGCCAAAAGCCACCAAGAAGATGCCAGAAAGGAAAGCAAGTCTCCCTCGCCTGATGACAAGGCACTCTTTCAGGGATTACCTGTCACGGTCTACCTCGTCTCCTAGCGAAGACGTGGAGTCAGAAGCGGCTAGATGGTCCAGCTTGAGTTGAGTTTTTCACGCTTGCCAGAAGGAGAATGCACCCGAAACCATGCCAGTGCAAGAGTAGGGGTTCTTGCCACATTGTTGGACAGAGGGGCAACCCTTAAATCGTCTTGAGGGCTGAAAAAAGGAGGGGGTTCTGGTGATGGGGGAGTGGACCTGGACTCAACACTTTTGACTCATTCAGCGCAAAAAGAAGAGAAACACACACAGAAAACAAGGGGGAGGAGATGGATGATTGCCCAAGATGATAGGCAGTGGGGGAGCTTACTACGTGGGCCACCTATACGTACACACATCGGCATTTAAAATTACTTTGAATGGTAACTTGTGCAGGTGCATGAACATGGAAAACAAATGTCTTCTAGGATCAGAGAACTGTGTTGAACTCTAGAACTCTAGAAAGTTCAAAGTCTAGCGAGTGGCCATTTCAACCAGGCAACTGCAGGACACTATCTTTGCCTTTGTTTGGCTGAAAATGCACCATCGTCTACTTCCTCTTTTATTGCAGTTCCTTCTTTAGATAAACTCCCCGCAGTTCTCTGCCTGTATTGGCTTATCACTTGTCACTTACTCGCTATGCAGAGTTGCTGTTTGCATAGCACCAGAATTAATGCAGAAGTTACATATCTGGGTCAACAAACAACTTTGCAAGGTTTAGATAAGTAAACTGAGTGTCAGTAATAGACTATTACAAAACCCATTACTGCTCCTCTGGCATGGATGCAGAAGAACACAAGGTGGGGACTTGCTTTGACTTTTAATCTTGACATCAACAAGCTAGGCATGCACAGGACCTACACAGCCCATCACCAGGATACAGGAATGGCAAGGTCATTCTTATTGGTATGGAAGGCTCACTAGATGGCTTGGATGCAGAAGATATCTGATAGATAAGGTTAGGAGCCCATTAACGAATTCCCCTTGAGAGGAATGGATGTTCTAGCTTTTAGGCTGAAGGTTATTCAATCAAACACTGATTCAATAATTCGAATCGAGCGTCAGCATCAGGCCAGTTTCTGCAAAAGCAGTGACAACAAAATGTTTGATTTGCTCCAAGAATTTGGTTAAAAAAAAAGAAAGCATAGCCAAAACATTGGCAAGAAACAACCAAACTCATTTCAGAGTGGTTTGGTTTAATGGTTCGTTGTGGAGAAACTTACCAAGATTTCATTACCGTGTTGGTGATTGGAACCAGGGGTCGCAAACGCAATACATAGCCATTTTTTATACTTTCCAAAACCAACAGTGAACCAAAACATCTTCTGACTTTTTTGGTAATGGTAAATAGGAGTAAATCTAAAAAAAAAAAGCACAATTTTTTTCCTTCCATGTACCTCTCTACCATGAAAGTGTTATAAAAATACATTTTTTCATTGCAAAACTAACATAAAACAATGATTCAGGCATCAGGCAGCTTATTCAATGGCAAAATGTCATATCATAAAGTTTTTTTTATGTCATGATATTTTTTTTTGTGGCATCAAGACAAAGTTAATCCACTTATAAAAACCACTATCAAAACAATGAATTCAACCATTTGTATTCAACATTTTGCACTGTGCTGCACGAAATCCAATTACACAAGACTAATGATGCTCTGTTTGCGAAAACATGCAGTTTGTAAGTGTTTAAGTATTGACGATATCTACGATATGCTCAGAAAAGCATATTGTGACACATAGTGATGATCTCGATAACGATCATATACTGTCACATTGCCCAGCTCTAGTACTCACAAGCATTTCATTTAATAGCTCTCTGTGAGGGAGCTTTCATAGGCTGTGAACTCTATCACCTCCTACCTCCACCACTGTGAACAATTCTGGTTCTCTAGAACAGAGCATCTTAACCACTTAAAACCGAAAAACCACCTCAAGTCCTCTTTAACGGTCATGGCCAGGCTACCTCCGAAACAGGGAAATCGCTTGTGAGACGATGTTTATTTGTTTTCCACCCGTTATCCGCCAAAGCCCGCCCACCTGGCTACAGTTCGTATTCCTGCGCTAGGATTGGCTAGCGGCGCTCACTCACAAGCAACGCGCAGCAGCGACGGTTGCGACTTGTCAACAGACAAATGAGCGGGGCTACTCGTGAGCACGAACTATTAGCCAATCGGAGCTGGGCTTGATGGAAAGCGGGTGGGAAAAGAAATAATCCATAGAAACGGCTGTGACAGTTCCCTTCACAGCGCTGCGAATTTAAAAACTTAGAAAAGAACCGTAGGTTTGGGTATCATTACAGGAATTTGGGGGATGTTTTTGAGGAGAAAACAGCTTCACCTCGCTACGGAGTGAAGGTAACACTAACTGGAAGGGAGTTGGCGAACTAGAAAACAACGCAGTTAACAGTTAGCCGAGTTACAAGCGTTACTTCTAAGTTCACTTCAGCGTAACGTTACTGTTTTTCTTTTTGTCACTATAGTTTTGAATTTGAGGGGGTTTTTCCCTTTTTCTTTATCTTCCGCAGCGACCACCCTAACCGGGACAAAACCCTCCTAGAGAGACAAGCTGCAGGTTTTTGATTAAGAAGACCAAAACATGACCTTATTTGCACCCGAAACTCGTCTTTCAGTCACTGACTGTCAACAAAATGTGTTCGGCTACTCCCACGCTATTAGCATTATAAACAGCAAAAGCCAAACGGGCAGCAGACTCTGAAGGAGTTTTAAGCATTCAAAAGGAGAGGAAAAAAGCGAATAACTCAGTCTCTATGAATATTGACCATAGTCAGTAAAAGCGTATAGTAAATTAAAACAAACATAAGTAGCATAATTAAAAAAAAAAGAAAAGAAAAAAAGTGTGATATGAAATAGAGAAACTGCAAATAAAGCCACTTCCTGGACCCCGTGTCAAACTTACAGCAGGTGGGAGAACGCAGATAGCCCAAATAAATGAAAATACACAACACTCCATCTGATTATGGCTATTAAAACTAAAAAAAAACCTGAATATATCTTTTATGATGAAGTATACTGTATTTCTTACCTCAGACTATTTTCCTTTTATTCCTTCAGAAGTGACTCGGGTCTCTTGTGTGTGAGTGTGTTTTGTGCGGCGCCTGGTCGTTGAATGAGAGCCGTGGCGGTAAAATTTAATTTATAAGCTCTTTCTTTCTGACCTTTGTCTCTTGAGTACGGGTGACCATTAGACAGCAGCATGAGTGGAAAAACACCGGCCTGCCTCCTCGTGCAGCAGCAGCAGCGAGCGGCTTCTTAAAGACGCAGCGCCCCCATCTACACTCTCATTCACACAGCTCAGCGCGCGCTCGAGCCGCGGAAATGCGCACGCGCAACAGCTCTGCTTTTTTTCTAAGTAAGTCAATGGAACCAGAATTTTTTCTAAGTAATTTTGGGCTGTTTCTTGTAGTCCATACATACATCATCTAAACCACTTATCCTTCTGGGTCACGGTGGGGTGCTGGAGCCTATCCCAGCTGTCATTGGACAGAAAGCAGGATACACCCTGGACAGGTCACCAGTCCGTCGCAGGACAGACATACACATTCACACCTAGGGGCAATTTAGCATGTCTGCATGTTTTTTGGACTGTGGGAGGAAACCGGAGTACCCGGAGAAAACCCACACGGACACGGGGAGAACATGCAAACTCCACACAGAAATGACCCTAGTCACCCAGCTGGGAATCGAACCCAGGCCCTTCTTGCTGTGAGGCGACAGTGCTACCCACTGCGCCACCGATATGAGGTTTTCTCTTGACAACGGAGAGACGGAGAGACGGAGAGAGAGAGAGAGAGAGAGAGAGAGAGAGAGAGAGAGAGAGAGAGAGAGAGAGAGAGAGAGAGAGAGCGAGAGAGAGAGAGCAGAGAGAGAGAGAGAGAGAGCGAGAGAGAGCAGAGCGAGCGAGAGAGAGAGAGAGAGAGAGAGAGAGAGAGACAGACACACACACACACACACACACACACACACACACACACACACTCTCTGCAGTGTAAAAGGTCACTCTTGGCCACTGTTCAAATTTAGGCAAATTTGTGTCATTGACCATGTTAAGTCCTTTGTACAAAAAGGACAGATTTGTTGTTCCAGTGCAGCTTGTGTCCAGATGACTCTCAGGTGGATTTGATCTACTCATTAGTGGCTCGTTTAAGTTAATCAGCTTGTAGACATTGTTCAACTCTCACACTGTCATTAAAGCAAAATGCACACATACTGAGCCACATACAAAGAAATTCTGAAATGCATATAAATATTTTGGGCTCAAACATTTTTAAGTAGATCTCAGCTGATTAATTCAGTTGACAGAATATGCAACTTCAACAGTGCTGATTTAATAGAGCATGTATAAGTTTGTGTGACTCCAGCAGAAGAGGAAAAGACATGAGAGAAACCAACTGACTCTGAGAATCAGTTCTGTTTACTGTCACATAACAAAAATAATACCAGTAACTTTTTCTTTTTAATGTCACCAAAGGTTGATTCATTTAGATTCACAATTTGTGTACTTATAAACATAAGTAACTGACAACTAAAATAATTATAGCACGAGGCCTCATCTAATTATATGCCAAGAAACAGTTTTATCTTGGGTGTGCACCTGGCATGTGGTATGTACGCAAATGAGATGACTTATGACCCCTTTAACACAACATTATATGAAAAAACTCAATGTGGAAAGTAGTGAAATAAAAATACTCAAAACATTCATGACAAAACTTTTTGTAGGCTGACTTTTATTATGCTGAGTTTAAATATCACCAGTGTCTGCAGGGCATTGGAGATTGGGTACTTGCTGTACAGGGGTGTGCAAAACTGAGATAATGAGACTGACACACTTATGCACAGCAGTCTTGAAACAGGGCAGTGGGTTCATCGTTGCCATGGTAAAATTATATATATATATATATATATATATATATATATATATATAACTGGAGGTATGTATAATCTTGATAGTGTAATGTAAGACATCATGAAGCCGGATGCTGCCTCTATACTTATGCATATTGTAATTCAACCTTAAATATATATTGCCGGTAAAATTACATGTTGTAGCCCATTTCAGTGAACATTAGAGTAAATGCATATGCATTTTCAGAAAGCTGGAGTTGTTTCAAGGTGTGGTTAAGCATTCGTTTTACACTACTTAACTAATAGATGAAGTTTGGCTCTATAATAATAAGTTGGAAGAGCATTTGGAATAAAGATAATGTCTAAAATTCTCTTTCCTACCTCACATCAACCACAACCACACTCATGTTTTTGTGAAGACTGCTCATACCACTCCACCACCTCATCTGCCCCCATGTTTTCATGTCTTGTACTCTGCCTCTAAAATTATACCAGGGCATTGGCTTTGGCTATCAGGAGCTCCAAGCAAAGATTTTTTTTTCTGAATTCTTCCAGTCTTTTTATTATCCACCTCTCACTTCAATAAAGCCATAACCATTACAAGGTGTGGTCAGCACTCATAAAGTTATGTTTTCGATCATGTTTTGAAGATTCAGGCTCAAATGTCAAGGCCAAGACTCTTTTTTCTTCTTCGTAGAATCTATTCAGACCTGGTGTTAAAAGTGAATTCCACTGATTTTTCACATTTTCTGCATAATCCAATCATTGAAATGTAAACAAAGACATTCCAAGTGGTTTGAGCTGAAATGTTTCATTGCAGAGAAACTTACTGACTCGGATTTTTTTACAGTGTTGGTGATAGGAACCAAATAAAGACATTTTATTAACTGTCCAAAACCACCAGTGAACCTACAGTCTTAAAAATGGTTCAAGAGTCTTCTAGTAACGCCAATAGTTATGTACTGAACCACAAACACTCAAAGAACCATTTGAAAGGTTCTTTGCATGGTTAAATTGTTCTCTTATATGGAAAATCTGTTGTATGCAGTTCTCTAATAAACCTTTTAAAATGGTTCTGCTATTATCTTTCCAAAAAGGGTTCTGCTTCTGTTGCAAAGAAACTTTTATTGGTACCATAAGCCTTTCTGCTAAGAGTGTAGACAGTTTTTATACATAATGTTGATGATGGTAAAATAGAGGTAAATCTGGAAAAAAAAAGTTTTCTTTGGGGACTATTTTGCCTCACAGCACCCTGCATGTACCCCTCCACCAATTTAAAATATGCTTTGAGCCAAATCCTTGTCATAGTGACTTTTTGTGAGGCAGCTTTAAAGAGGCATTAAACTCTTCAGATGTCTGATTCCTACCACCACTGATTTTGTGACTGGAGCATAGCATGTGGATTTCCTGCACGTTTACCACGTCAAACAAAAACAGCCTGCAGGTCCTTGTTAGTGCATATGGAAAATATAAAGAACAAAACTACACAGATGCTTTCCTCTCTGCTGTAATGACAGAGCTGTTCAGGTGGTCTTTTAATGCTGTTGAGGACACTTTAGTGTTCACTAATATTTTCCAAATCAGATCACCTTGACACCTTGGCCCCTGTCCACACTTGTACTTAGCATTGTCCACTAGTGATCAGATCCCAGATATGTGAACAGGGCCTAGGTGATTGGGTAACATTTAACTTGAACCCTGCTACATAATGTTGAAATAACCTACCATAAACATGTGCTATGCTGTGTTGTTATGACCATCACCGATAATTGTCATGACAGATATCTAGATAATGCTTGATGTCATGACGGCTAACTAGAGTACATTTAGCAAAAACTAGCATTGACATAATCTGTCATAATGTGGTCACTGTGCTGGACTGTAGTGGTGAAGAGGAAGCTGAGCCATTAGGCAAAGCTCTCTGTTTACTGGTCAGTCCACATCCCAACCCTCACCTGTGGTCATGAGCTTTGGGTAATGACCGAAACAATGAGATTGAGGATACAAGTGGTGGAAATGAGCTTTCTTTGCAGGGTGGTGGGCTACATCCTACTTGATAGGGTGAGGAGCTTGGTCATCCAGGAGGAGTTCAAAGTAGAACTGCTACTCCTCTACATTGAGAAGAGGTAGTTGAGGTGGTTCTCCTGGCCACCTTCTGGTGCAGGTTTACCAGACAAGGCCTACTGGGAAGATGCCCCAAGGTCATCCTAGGACCTGCTGGAGGGATCTCTAAGTTGGCTTGGGAGTGGCTTGGGGTCCATCGGAGCTGGAGGAAGTTGCGGGGGGACAGGGTTGTCTGGGATCCCCTGCTATCCCAATGGCTACCGCAACCATAGCTAGATTAAGTGGTTTGAGATGATGATGATGACAATAAGCTGTCATGACATCAAACATTCTGACATCTGTCATGAAAATGACTAGTAATGGTAACAGGGCCTAAGTGATTGGGTAACACTTAACTTGAACCCTGCTACATAATGTTGAAATAACCTTGTTATATTACTGAACAAAATATTTCACAGCAGCTCATGACAGCATATGCCATCTGTTATGACATGTTTATGGCATGTTTATATCAATGTTATGTAGCAGGGCTCAAGTAAATTGTTGCCAGTAACTCAGAATTATGGAATTTTGATTTAAACAAGCTTCCTATTTGTTGGCTACATTTTAGTGTTTATTGCTTAAATCTTCACCAGTTTACTCACTGATATTGCTGCCAGTCTTTCACTGAATTGAGTGTTCTGCTGTTCTAAGCGTCAAGTCATTTAATCTGATTACTAATTTACTAATCTAACTTCCATTCTGCCAAATCATGCTGAGCTCACATGCAACAAACTAGCCATTGCTAGCCTTTTTATCAACCTTTTAAACTTTTAAACTTTTATTACATCCTAAGGATAGTAAAATGCTTTATTGAGTAATTATGTGGAAAATTATGCTAAAGTTATAAGGATGAGGAATGCAAGTCTGGCAGTTTAAGCGAGTTTAAGAGGGAAGAGATTTGTAAACAGTGTTTTTAAGCAGGCCTAATCGTTTAAAAAGAACAGCATTGTTGTGATATTGTATGTGCTTGGGATTTGTTTCTGAATTGAATACTGTACCAACTGGCTTGACATTTTACTTGCTGTGGAATCATGCATAATAGCAATAACCAAATATGAACATTTACATCTTTATTTGAATCTGCAGATGTGGAAAGCAGGCCTAACATCAGGGTGTCATTTTGTAAATCATTATTCCCCACAAAAGCCACTATTTTGTACATGTTTCTGTAGATGCAAGTGGCAAAAAAACCAAAAAACAATCAAAGTGAAACTCATATCACAGGCTAGATGGATGAATATGAGTTTGCATGCATCACCTTGCACAGGCTGCATGTCAGGGATGCGCTGTG